TTAAGTCACCCGCCACCATTACAGAAGACCTATCCTGTAAGCTGTGAAGTGTACTGTCCAAAGATTGTAGAAAGCCGTTTAAGTTGTGAAATGAGGGAGAGCGATATATGCATAGTATAGACAATGAGTTATCCAAGTCAACCCTAAGGCAGTTTGCCTCATCAAAGGTGGGCTCCTGCACAGAGGGCATCCATTTGTCCAACCTAATGTAAATAACCACTCCCCCACTTTTATTGATATACTTTTTAGTATGAAAGGACTTATAACCGGCTATTTGCCCAATTACTGAGCTGATGTCATATGTAATGTTTAATCTCTTTAGGACTATCAAAAAATCATTAAAATTATTTTGAAGACTACGTACATTAAAAGTGAGAAGTTTAAAATCGTTTGATTTAAAAACTTTCTTACAGTATTGTAATTGCTCGTCTAAGGGAGCGTTGATAAAAAAGAGTGGGTTTGCTGGCGGGATGTTAACTGGAGAGCATACAGTAGCAGTTAGATGAGCAATAAATAACACTTCTTGAGAGTTTCTTCTTATTTTATTTCTTGATTCCTTATTATTACATTGCCGAATTTGGAATGTTTTACCACGAAAAAACGCCCCTTTTTTATAAGCGGCTGTAACCAATCATAATTAAGAAAAAATCGCACACGGCATTAGTAAATCTATTGACCAATCAGAGCACAGAATAACCCTTTCTAAGAGAGATTTACAATTTCCTTAATAAACGTGGTAAAACATACCTTACGACATTTATATTTATTCCTAACGATAGATACAACTTATTTCTATTATTCTAAACCTAAATTATTCAATAAACCTTTATTTTACACTTATAAAAAATAAAAATAGCTTCGCGGTCGCTTCACGGTTTAGCTCCGGAGTAGGATAGTATTTTTTGCCGAACATACAAGTAGCGCCGCCAAGAGGCAGGAATGTAAAACACTTTTTCAGGAATAATGCTTAAGAATCTATACAATATTTTTTCATGAAATTTAAATCTTTCTTATAATGAAATAACATTATATAGTGATTAATTGACATATTAATGTTTCTTTTGAATTACTTTAAAGGAAAAAGAATTATATTAATCACCTATACGTTAATAGCTCTTAAAGTTATGATAAAAGAAATCTTACTAGAAAATAAGCTTATACTTGCGTCTAATGTTCTAATCAGACCTAAATAATATTAAATAGATTCATATAAGTTACTTTAAGATAAGAATAGAAGTGTTTAATTTACTTTCCTGTTTTCAGCACTAATCAGTCTTTACACTTAGTTTTATTTTACGAATAGGAAACAATTAAGATTAAATACTATCACTTAGTTTTAAATCACTGATAAGGAATAATTAAGATTAAATGTTCGAATTCACTTTGTCGTCGCTAACAAGTATTCTAGTCTATCCAGTGAGTGACATTTAATCGATAAAGATTTTTCTATATCGTCTTGGATTTCTATGGCGGCCGTAGTATATAAAAAATTAATAGAAAGAGATATTTGAAACAGAGCTTGTCACTCATAAACTGGTAGGAATACAAACATTTTGTTACCAAAGAACAGCCAGTCATAGTCTTAATCACAGAGGTATATTTTAATCGGAATTCGAATATAAGCAATATAATTCTTCGCGATATTCAATAGTAGTATTTTGCCTAAATTACAAATATGTGTAACATAATATGATTTAGAAGGAAATTCTTTAGCGAGTGTATTATAACTATTTGTAAAAAAGTAAAGATTATTAAATACATAAGTTATGAATAGGTGAATTAATAATTTTATTTTTACAATTATCGGTAAACTAATACTTCTGTGCACTTTCGTTTGGCATAAATTAACAATAAAAATTTAAGAAAAATATTCATAATACTCATAATATTGCTGCAAAGAATCATTGCCATTAACATCGAATAATAATAACATGCGACAAAACAAACAGTAACCTAATAACAAGCAAAGCAGGCTAATTTGATTTATTGTCTTGGTGTGGAAAAGAAGATGGGTTACACTCATGATCCTGGGCAACGAGGTGCCGGTCCATGTCAGCAACACTTCGTACAGTGCGGGCTGGACTACCTTCGTGCTTTCGGATATGAATTTTTCCATTTTTGATCCAGCAGTACCTATAACCCGCTTCTCTTGATCGAGTTCTAACATCCCGAAACAACTGGCGATTATATTTTATAAGATGTTCATTGAAGTATAATCTTCTAGGAGGTCCTTGAACTTCAATATCTAAGTTGGTGAGGTCACGTCTAGCTTTCGTCGCCCTTAAAATTCATCACGCTTGTCTTTTCCTATAAAGCGCACTATGACAGGTCGGGGTCCTTTAAATTGACTTTCCTGGTTGGTTCGGTCACGTCGACTCCCTGGACGAACAACGAAATCAATGTCGTCGTTAACGAGGGTGATTCCGATCTTAGAAGCCGTAACGAGGACAATGTGTTGCAGGTTCTCACTGACGTTTTCGTTGATGCCCATGATCTCCATTTCATTTCGTAGCGAGGATTGTGACTGGGTGTTGAGTTGTTCCTGGAGAATTGAAATGGCCACCATTCAAGAGAATATATGTCAGATTCCGTTTCATCCAAGACCTGAAGTTTCCCTTCGGCATTCGACATACGCGTTTCCAATGAGTCCAGTCTTGAGGTACAGGCCATTGCGAGACTGTTTGCATAGCGCCCTTCATTTCAGTCATTTCTTACCTCATAAGATGTATTTCAGATGCAAGCTTGAGAAGGTTGCCATTTATTGATTCCAACGTAGGCTTCTGGTTCTCATTGATAGTGGAGGATACGGCTTTGCGTTTTGATGGACGGGTGGTGACATTTAAATGCATCTCAGAGTTAGGTGTGCGAATGGGAGTGTTGGAATTATCACCCTTAGGAGTCCTGCAGTGGCAGTTAGGGCATAGCCAGCTTGATAAAATTCATCCGTAAACAGTTCATATTCTTTTTCCAAGATATTGATACATAAAATGTGGTAAACGGTTTTACATCTATAGCATCCCATAAACAAATCTGTGCTGCCGATGTCACATAAGCAAGCTCCACACTGAGAAGAGATGGTTTACGTAGGTTCCTATCGATAAGCGTCAGCTGTTGCAATAGATACGTTTTTAGTGCGCAGTTAATCGACAAGGCGCTTACCGGTTTAAGTGAATTTAATGCACGTATATGCACTACGCGCTGCAAAGTGTGGCAGAGATGCGCGCGCAGTCGCTTGCTATTGGTCGAGACTGACGGACGTTAGAGGGTACACTAAACGCGTTAACTAAGTCTATTGAATGATAAGTTTATATTCACCTTTTAAAAATACGTAAAAAACTTCACTGATTGCATGCACGATAACAAGCATCACCAAAAACAAAATGCAACATTCGATAATATGAAACTTTCTCGATACGCTGATATAGATTAATCTCATGTAAGTACACTTTATCCCGTATAATTAATTTTAACAATCGGACGATTAAGAATTGCGACTGTTCAGGTCAACGAACTCGACCGTACTCCAAATCCATGATTGTAGAACCCAAGTGTATGCGCAAGCACAGGTGCACTCTCTGTTCCATCATTCTCATAGTCCGATGGGGCGGTAAACTGATACGACTGAAGAGAGATCAGGAGAGGATCAGACGCATGAACACACAATGTATCTCACAAGTAATACGTATTATGTTAAATTAGATTGCTTAGTGCGATTGCCAAGTCAATCTATTTATTTAAAATATAAAAGATTTTTAACATTGATATGGTCACCATAAAATGTTGTTAGGTTAGCCAATTACGTAATAACTTAAAACAGAAGGACCCTTAAGTAGGGACTGAATAAATGAACCGACTTGGTATTACATGGATCTCATAACTTTTAACGGTAGTGGAGTTCCACTCAGTTGAGTTGCGAGACTTGCTTTTTTTACAAGTTATGTTTTGATGGCATCTCATTTCTTTTTGTAGATAAGATAGTCCTACTTTTTTACTTTTCTGGTACCTTCTACTTCTTGAATACCAACAACGTACCTATCTACAACTATTATACATATAAAAGTACGCTGATTCGTTCACTGCAAATGTATCTTTGTTATTCTATATATTTATATTATATTACAAAGTTATTTATACAGTTGGTGTATCTAGAAAACTGGAACGAAATTAAAAAATATTTTAGTTTTTCCTTGATTTATACACTAAACCCTAATTGTATTCTAAATTTGAAGCTTCTATGTTTGCTATAAGTGCCTGAGAATTTTGATGATCGGTCAGTCAGTGAGTGACAAAATTAAGAAACTTTTACTAGTTATAATTCTTAAACTACCGGTTCTAATTGAATGAAATTTGAAATATACTATGTTTATACAATGCCCACTCGGTTACTGAAAATTAAGGCTTGTAGTTTAATTGACTACGAAGTTATAGGGGGTCGAAAATGGCCGGAATTACTTCGATAAAAGTATGATACGGCCGTGCCGCTTTTTTGCTCGACTTGGCGGGGGCACTACCGTGCCCCCAGATTATTCATTATTTATAATAATGCGCCGTCACAATACTTTACTCTGCGTCCAGCTACCACTAAACTATGTACGTAGTACTTACTAGTAAATGTACCGCTTAAAATGTTCCGCGGCTTGTGCGGATGTGTGTACGTGGCCGCTCATGTTCATGAGTTTATGACCGGTGCCACTGTTGGCCAGTGCCGGCCGCCATTCGCATAATTCGAAGGTGATGGAAGCGCTAATATGCCATAAGTGCTTATGCCTATTAATACTCATTTTCTTTCTAATATGGTATTTCATACCATGTAAAAATATAAAAATAAAAAATACATATTTATGATAGATTTTGTAAAAAGTAAACGAGAAATATTGATTTATGTTTATAAAATTGCATTACCCGCTTATGACATCCACGAGATGATATGACGTAGTGAATTCTCTTACGCAGCATACCGGTGTCCACGTAATGAACTAAAATCTAATTATCAATTTCAGTTGTTAATGATCTACGCTTCTTTTTGTACCGGTGTGTGCTGCGTGATCCTGGGTACCCAAATTCAACTGCATTGGGGTCCGCACTGGGTCACCGCAATGTTCATGTGCTTATTCAGCTTGACTAACAAGTGCGGAGCGGGGACCGTTCCCCAAGTGTTAATTGCAGAGATATTCTTACCGGAGGTTGGTAAACATTAGTTAGTTTTTAAACGTGCTATTAAACCTATTATAGGCATATTAGTAGTATTTATAATAAAGTCTGCAGTGGAAAAAGACCTCTTTCATACATTGACCCGTAATATCCCTCATTATATTTGACATAGTTGCTACGCTCGACGGTTGAGTTGTCAGCCGAAGTTTTTTTAATTACTATTGAGTTGTAATCTGGAAGGTTCTGATGCGCATCTCCTGTTTTAGCATTTAATTTATTCCATACGGGCATATAATAACTATGGCATAGTTGAGACGTTCAGCAGGTGGGTCAGGTGGGTTATATACCGCATCGCTTATTTTTACACGAGTCTTCTATAATGAAAAAGACTATAGTTTAAACCTGCAACTAACTATTTTTGTAATCAAATGTTCTTTTTAAAATATAGAATAAGGATGAAAAACAAATACTATTCACGTTATGATAAGTGGATTCCGTGGCCCCTGGACATCTTCAAGTAATCCTCGCTGAACTATGAAAATGCAGATGTGCTGAGGACTTCGATGAAACAGATCGAAGTTTCCCTTCGATGGGTTAAATCCAATTCTAGCTCATCAAATTATGGCTCCTCGGCCATAAATAAAATGCGCCTACTTACACTGCTGTATTTTGGTTTAAAACTTGTTATTACAGGTTTTGAGGCATTCCATCTCGGTCCTTAAATGTGACAAGACAATGTCTTTAAAGTTAATTGCAGATGTCTATGGGCTGCTGTAGTCGCTTACCACCAGGTGAACTTTAAGTGCGATTGTCTGTAATTTGATAATAAAAGTATTCTTTTCAGATCAAGAGCGTTGCATCAATGATTGTCTACGAGTGTTCCTTCGTCTGCGCTTTCATCGTTCTCTTCATCTTCAACCCGCTTGTCGCCACAATCGGCTTGGGTCCGGTCTTCTACTTCTTCGCGGTTGCTTGCTTCCTTTCCGCCATTTTTTCTATCTTCTTTTTACCCGAAACGAAAGGTCTTACCGTGGACGTTATTCAGAGTCTTTTCGTAAAGCGGACCGTTCGACGACGTTATATGGTCGATACAGAAACCATATTTTAAATGTTAAGTCACTGCTGTTTATCAACTTAACTTCTTACCAATACATTTATCAACTATTTATAAAAGTTAGGTAGGCTACTGCCTGTGAGCATTGCGTCACTTTAGGGCTCTGCGGTATCAGAAGAAAGCATTTTACGTAATGTAGAATGTGGGTCAGACGCCCAACAGTGCTAAGATCCCTTTATATGGCTCAATCTGGCACTATTTATACTATATTAAGTACAATACTGCTTGCATCATGATACTTTTAAAGCTAAAAAAAGAGAATATCCGAGCTGCAAGAAATTGGAGGAATAAGTTTTTACGACCTTTTCATGTTGCGTTAGCCCTAACGACCGAACTGGACATCCGATAGAAACAACTGCATCTGAGCTTAAACGTACTTATGAAAAATTGAGGAAATTGTCACTAGCACCTGTATTCCCATACTTTATTCCTCGAAAACTGGACTCATTACAATATATTAAGAATAATATAGGAAAAATTGTGGCTACGTTCCATTTTCACTTTTCTCAGTTTTATGTTCGTTATATTTGTTTGCTTTATACCTTATAACAGCGGGATTATGTAATTTTAGGATCCAGAGTTAAGAATAATTTATTAATAAATAAAAAACAAAACCTGGGATCATGACAGTGAGATATCAATTTTATAGAAAAAAATATTTGCAGTAGGGTTATGTAAACCGAGAAAACTGTGAACTGCTTTTATAATATGTACTAAACGTAGCCTCTTGTCGCTTAAGTGTCCAAGCCACATTTAGATCCGATTGTAGCTGAAATGTTGTTTTTTCTATATATTTAAGAGTAGTGTACACTCGCTGGCATTTCCAGTATGACTTTTGGCCGCTAGGTGCACTCGTACACGGAACAAGTATATGTGTGTCTATAATGATTTCTTATATTTACGCGAACACTACACATTTAAATAATACTAGTTTTTACAGATTATATTGCGTATATGTAACTTTTTACATACCCGACATTTCCAGCACTTTACAGCATCCATAGTCACGTTAACTATGACATCTAGACGTTGAACATCTCAGTCTCTCCCGTGACCATGGGTGCTGTAAAGTGCTCGAAACGTCAGGTATTTAAAAAGTTAAATACACACGATAAAATCCGTAAAAACTAGACTTGCGAAGACGACATAGTTCTTATAGTAAAGTAACATAATGGCGGAAGGTCATCACTTAAAGTAAATTTTCAAAATTTATTTCTTGTATAAGCTTAATTCTCGTAATTTAACGAGACTATATTTACTTATAATAAAATTTATAGAATTTCGATGGTGTAATTCTATTGAATAACATTTAGAAAATAATACTTTTTTTTTCATAGGATAGGTTGACAAACGAGCACACAGTCCACCTGATGGTAAGCAGTTGCTGCGGTCCATAGACATCTACATCTATCCTCGATTAGGAATCAAAATGCAGATGCGTTGTCACCCGTGAGGACTAAGATGAAATGCCTCATTTCCAGTAAAAAGGGTCTCCGGTCTCTACACTCACCATACGAAACACAGCAGCGTTAAGCTACTATTTCACGCTGGTATTCTGTGAGAGCGTGGTCCTTCCCCGGTCGTGCTACAACTATACTATTAATACAACTGCAGTATGGCTCTACCACGTATAAAATTCTTCTGAAGGGTTCGATTGTGACATGCGCTAATCCGATGTGTTGGACAGAGACTCCTCAGAATAAATTAAACAGAGAATCAGTTACTTACGTATAAAAAGTAATCCCAGAAACCATTTTTTTCAAACGGGAATGGCTTTTACAGACGTTTATAAACCAGGACGACATAATTTTGCAATTCATAGTTATAACAATACTACTTCTCGCGTTCTCACTCACTCGCTGCAGACAACCGAGTTTTCGTCTTCATATTGTCGAATCGTTATATTGCGTGCTTTTCTAAGAGCGGAGTGATCCCCCTTTTTTAAAAGCCTGAGAAAGGTGTTGTAAATCTAATATTTATTTTAATATTTTTTCGTTCCAAGTTTTGATTTATTGCACAACAAAATCTGCTCGACATAGCTGACTTCCGTAGTAGGAATTAACTGTCTTAGTAAATAAAAATTGATTATTAAAAATCTACTAGAATAGACAGTTATATTGCCATCTGTACTTGGCCATGAGATCTGGCACTTGTTATATTCACCACTTGCCACACTCTCAGAACCGTAAGCATGAGTAACGACAAGTATTTTAAGCCGCCATCACAAATCCTTTGATTATACCTATATCTGTCTATATAATCAAAGCACAAATCATTCTATATTCCTCTTTTATAGAATGGTAATGACAAACGAGCACAAAGTCCACCTGATGGTAAGTTGCTGTAGCCCATAGACATATTTATATTCGATTAAAAATCAAAATATATGTGGTAGATGGCTGGCGGTTGTTTTATGTATATTAGCTGTTAGATAGGAATCGTATAGTTTATAAATATTACTAATAAAGGTACTTGCTTTTTATAACTAGAAATAGTAAATAATTTAACTTTTTTTAAATCAAATTTTATTATTTCGATATTTTGACCATTAGTATAGTTAGTATATTTTGGTTGCCTGGAAGAGATCGCTATGTAGCGATAAGGCCGCCAAATTGTACATGTAATCTGCTCTCTGTTATGTTCTTTGTAAATTTGATTGTGGTGTGCAATAAAGTATATTCATTGTCTACACATAATGGTTTAATACAGTGACATAATATAAAATGTACTACATAGAGAACACTAACCTCACTCCGCTTGGATTTCATTTTTTTTTATTCAGACACACACACGCATACACACACACACACACACACACACACACACACACACACACACACACACACACATAAAAGCAACCACGTAAATGGCGGTGTAGGTACACATCACTCTATGCATGTGCACGTGGCAGTCTATTACGACGCGTTTGTTTCATACATTTAATCTAATGCGGCCTGCGTGTGGTTTATATTCGTAGATCGTTGATTTAAAATTATAAGTCAATGTGTATAGTAGAATAAAACCTTTTTTGTACTGATTTTGTATGAAATTATATGCTTCTCTCAACAGTCAAGACCACATACTTATACTGTTTTTGTGACATATATTTTGTTTAAAATTGTTTATGTTTTTGGAAATAAATATTTAATTTTAATTATTTTTTTAATTTTCCTTATTTCTGGATTACTCCATGGAAACTTTCACTTGATAAAATAATTGTTATAAAAATAAGTACTGTCGGTAGCAAAGTATATATATTGCTGGATATGAAATTACGGAATATAAAAAACAAGAGGAAGTAGCAAACCATGTATCTTGTACCAGAATTTCTGCCGCCAAACTCATACATTCGCAAGAAAGCAACGTGTACCGAGAATAGTGCACTATTTCAATCATTTTCACGTGATTGGCTATTCAAAAATAAAAGAGTTAAGAATTATGATACTCGCGGTTCGCTTGAGTACGAACCATAACTCCTTCAAAATAAAGATCGTAGTATATTTCATCTAAGAAGTTTCTAGAATTAATGATCAAATTCAACTTCTTAACGTTAGATGTCGCAGTAATACCGCGGTTATTTGAAAACGCACCATAAATTATTACCAATATACAATATGTAACGTAATTAACGCACACCCACAGTCACCCCAATTAGTATATTATGTTATAATCATAATACATATGACGCAGTAAGATAGATAAAGCCGTAACATAGTTATACGAAAGCAATTCTTTACTATCTCACTAGGAATATAGTTATAAAACGGTCCAAGTTTAGTGATATACTTATAATACTAGATTAAGTTTAGTGAAATAGCTTTCGGAGTGTGCGTCGCAGGCGGCCCGCTACCTCCCCCGCTCCTGGGGAGGGGTTTCGTTGTGTTTACGCGCTCCCCACTCCGCAGTCAGTCGGCCGAGAACAGTTGTACGGTGTTCACGTCTAGTTTTCGTGCATGTTCATTTAATTATCGCTACGTTTCCTTAATATTTTTTATATATTCGTTTTTTCATTGCTAATTACTTGTGCCAGTTATGGATAAAGATGAAGAAATTAATGCAAAGCGACGTTTTGAACAAGAAGTTCGTCTATTTTACAATGCGAGATGAAAAAAACCAGAGTGGACGCGGCAGAGAATAAGTGAAGTAATAAATTTCATAGAAGAGTATGAAGCGGCGCCTCGGCTTAACGTAAAGAGAAATCCTAACCATCATTTTTATGCAAACCATTATGACGTAATGCAGGTTAGAGGAGAAAAGTATTTAGCTTTGAAACGAAAATCTACTGAAGACCTGTTATAACAATTTTGCCCTCCGAAGAATATTACAATGCTATGTCAGAAATTCTTAAAAACACAGGACATGGTGGTCGTGACAAAATGTTACATACTTTGAAATCTCAATATTTTATACCTACGCCGGTGCTTATCAGTTTCGTTAGAGCCCTATCTCATTAGGATGCCATGGCATCGACGCCGACAGCGTCGTCAATTATAACATATTAAATTCTATTAGAACGTACTCAACATTACCTCACTTGGCGACGGCTTGGCGTCAACTCCAATTTGCTTGCTTGTTGTCTTGTCAGCGGCGCCACGCTGGTGCATAAACAAGCGATACTAATTTCGCCTGACATCGGCTTTATCAACTAGTTGTGGCGTCTCATGGACGCCAACGGTAGCCATGGAAGCACTGCTGGCGTCAATGATGTCGATAGGGCTCTTAAACAGTGTGTAACGTGCCAAAATAAGAAGGCGTTTCCAAAGAAAGGTATTGTAGTCCGACCTATAATTTCGAACTCATTTAACAATCAAGGGCAAGTAGATTTAATAGACCTACAGTCAACGCCAGACAGAGAATATAAATGGATACTTCATTACCAAGACCACACAACAAAGTTTTTGTTTCTTCGACCTTTAACCTCCAAGCGCGCCGCAGAGGTCGCATTGGAATTATTGAAATTTTTTTTGAATATTGGATGCCCTGAGGTACTTCAGAGTGATAACGGCCGAGAATTCACAGCGTCAATTATAAAGGAATTGGTTCAAATGTGGCCAAGTTGTAAAATAATTAACGGAAGACTAGGTCTTCCACCGACATCCAGCGAGTCAAGGATCTGTGGAGAGAGCGAACCAAGATGTGGAGAACATGTTACAGGCTTGGCTACAAGATAATAATTCTACTAATTGGTCGATTGGAATAAGCTTTGTACAGTACCAAAAAAACAGCTCTTTTCATCGAACCATAAAAAGAACACCATACAAAGCTCTTTTTGAGGTGGATCCTCAAATTGGTTTGTTATCACAAGTGCCTGCTGATTTGCTTAATAAACTAAGAACTGAAGAAGATCCTGAGAAGATATTAAATCAACAACAATGTTGTTCATCGGCAACACCTGCACATAATGACGAATTACCTGTTGACTATGTTAACTTACAGCAACCGTCCTGTTCATGGGCGTCACAACCGTCATATGCATCAGCAGCACCAGAGCCTATTGAAACCTGTGACCGTGACTTGCCTGTCGAGTCTGTTAACTTGCAACAATCGGCATCGGAATAAAAAATTACTTTTATGTGTACTCGTAGTTTGCGGCAAAGAATGTACAGGAGCACATTCATGCTACTCGTGTGCACAAAATGTTCACGTAATTTGTGGAATAACGTCATGTGATGAAGGTTACGGATAGCAGCTATTATGCTTTTTATGCAACAGCGAAAAAAACATTCAAGACCAAAGAGAAAAAGCTGCCGAAAACTTAAGAAAAGCCGCACAAAAAATGAAACCCCACTCATCACAGAAATTTCCTGCCATTGACTTGGGATCTTGAGTTCTTATAGAGATACCAAAGATAGATCGTGGACCATTGGATCAAAAATGTATTAGAAAAAGTTTTAGAAAAGCGAAATGAAAGTCATAAAATTGGAACTTCAGTTGGTATCCTGAAAGATTGGTTACCCAGAAATGCAATACAGCTCTTAAACATTACTTTGAATGATCCTATACCAAACGAAAACTTATCACTGAGAGAAATATGCCAAAAATTGTCGCGCTTTGGTGGCCAAGGTTATTTAAAATGTTCCTGTGAAAAATCGAATATACAGTGTTCTACTAAAAGATGTGCCTGTAAGAAGCATTCAGTGCTATGTGATTCTAGATGTCATGATTCCTTTTTGTCTGAACAAAAATTAAAAAATGCTTTTAAAGAAACCAAGATCTCAACTTGTTGATAAGAAATAAAAATATCTCAAAACTGTACGACTTTAAAAGATTTTAATGTTTGATTAGTTTAAATTGTATTGTTAATGTTTAAATTCCAAAAAATATGATCGTTTTAATTATTATTACTTTAATAAGTGTTAATGTCAAAAAGTATTGTAACTAACTGCAGGATACATAAAGTTGATTTATTAATAAAGATAAAACCAATAAAATTTTGTTTTATTTAATTATATATGGTAGATTTCTATTTCACTAAGCTTAATCAAGTAATGTGTCTGTCTCAAAAAAGTGGCACACTTGAAATTTTTTAAATTTTTAAAAATGTATGAGAATAAATTAGCTTTAATATTGTTACGAGCTTGAGGTTCGTGACAATAAAAATTGCCGATAGGACTACCTAAATTAACACTTTAACTTTATTTACACCAATTAAAACTTAAAACACTAATAAATAATCACACTGATTCGCTTTATTTCGCTCCGAAGCTTCGCTTGTCTCGCCAAATTCAATACTTCCCAGATCGCATCTTGCAGCGCCTATAAATACACATTAGCACCGAAACATCCAGAATATTCAAGTAAACACGCGCAAGGGGCCGAGAGTTCGAGTGTCGACTTCTCTAGAAGTAAGCTTCTAAGCTTAGTTCTTTGTTCCGAGACTAGATGGCGCTGTCGGTTGAAAGATTAGCGATGTCATTTTCTGGAAAGCTCCCCTCGCTCTCGTCCCTGACACTAGATGGCGCTAGTGCCGGATACATGACGTCGACTTATTCGCGCAACACTGCCCCCACCTAAGACATGCTCGTCCCGAGCATTATCGGCCCCATAATAACGCGCCAAGCGATCCACATTGACGATCTTAGGAGTCCCTCTTGCGCCTTTCTGTATCCGGTAGGCTATATCGTTGATCCTGGTTACAATCCGGTACGGGCCGTCCCACTTAGCTTGAAGCTTAGGAGATTTCCCTTTGCTGCGGACTGGATTGTGCAACCACACTAGTGAACCTTCGTCGAAGCCTTTATTGTTCATTTTGCGGTCGTACCGGGTTTTCATCTTCTCAGACATTTGCTGGCCCGATTGTCTGACGTGCTCATAAATGTCATTCATTTTGTTCCGCAAGTCATTTGCATAATCGGTTATACTGCGTGGGGCATCAGGTGGTATCCCGCTGATCAGGTCTGCAGGCAGCCGTAATTCTCTTCCAAAGGTTGCGAAAGCTGGTGTCACTGCTGTACTTTCGTGAACAGCGCTTCGATATGACAACAAAAACGGTTGTATGTGCTTGTCCCAATCTCGTTGCCGATTGTCTACAACTTTTGCTAGGTACCTCTCCAATATCTGATTAAATCGTTCTACCATTCCATCAGATTGCGGGTGATAAGAAGTCGTTCTTGTTTTATGAGTACCCATAACTCGGCAAGTTTCCTGGAATATTTGAGACTCGAAATTCCTTCCTTGATCGCCGTGAATTTCTAAAGGTACTCCAAAACGACAGAAGACTTCATGAACTAGCTTATCTGCAACAGTTGAAGCTTCTTGATTTGGAATGGCGAAGGCTTCTGGCCACTTAGTCAAGTAATCCATCACAACCATGAAATACTTGTTACCGCTTTCACTCTCCGGAAACGGTCCCGCCACGACAATGGCTATTCTCTCCCATGGTGCACTAACATTGTACAACTTCAATGCTCCTCTACTACGAGTCTGAGGTCCCTTTACAGCCGCACAACTTGTACATTTGCGACACTAGCCCTCGACATCGTTTCGACAGTGAACCCAGTAAAACCATTCTCGGATCTTCAGTAGAGTTCGTTTAACTCCCAGATGGCCTCCTGAACAATCATTATGGTATAGCTGTAGAACATACGGTACTTTAGCCTTAGGGACAACCATTTGCAAATCACAGCTGTCTCCCCGAACATTTTCCTATTTACGGCGCAGAACTCCATCCTGAAGCAGCAAGCTGTCCCATTGGGCCCAATAGCTTTTAGTGGTCGAACTCATCGCTGAGACGTCGCTCCACTTGGGCTTGGGAGCACTGGCCTTCATCCATTCCAGAATCGGCTTGATGTCCGGATCTTCCTGCTGTGCATGTCGTAGGCTGTCCTTCCACTCGTTTCTGAGGTGGTCGGTCCTGAGCATTATCACGGATACCACTTCCTTACTCTTTTGCCTAGTATAATGTTTCCAATCTTCTGGACAAGGTCTTCTTGACAATGCATCTGCGTTGCCATGAGATTTCCCGCTGCGATGTCTGATAGTAAAGTCGTATCCCGGCTGCTGCTGGGCGGTGATGTTAGCCGAACTTCCCTTCTGAGATCGTTCACCTTCCCTTTCTAGGGTTCGCTTAGGGCAGCTGGATCGAAGATGGCCCCTTTCCCCACAGCCATAGCACCTAGGGCTGTATCCTTTATTGTGGTCGCGAACCGTAACTGCTGCAACCTCCCTAGCGCGAGGGGAACGACGATTCTGCCACCGCCAGGCGGTGCCGTTAGCTGCACTACCCTCTCGAGATCGATCAACTCTCCTTTCTACAGTTCGCTTAGGGCAGCTGGAGCGAAGATGGCCCCTTTCCCCACAGCCATAGCACCTAGGGCTGTATCCTTTGTTGCGGTCGCGAACTGTAGCTGCTGCAACCTCCCTGACGCGATGGGAACGATGATCCTGCCGCACGGCTTCCACCTCCAGTGCATGGGCCAAGGCGTCCTTAAGCGTCTCGTGGTGCCCGAGTCTCACAGCAGCTCTGACTTCCAGGTCGCGAAAGCCGTCGATGAATGTCTGCACCAGGTTCCCTTCAATGAGCGCAGGTACAGACCGGTATGCTTTTCGCACCAGCTTCTCCACCTCTAGAGCCCACTGCTGCAGGTTTTCGTTGATGCGCGGCACGCGATTTTTAAGCTGCGCACGAAAGACGTGTTCCAGGTGAACGTCGTCATATCTCGCCTCCAATGCCTCAAGGAGTTGCTCATAAGTCACTCGCCGAGAGCTTCCAGAACTGTTAAGGCCTGGTCGCGCTGGCCTAGTGTGAGAGCAGTTATGGCCTGACTTTTATTCCAGCCGTTCGCCTTCATAACAGCCTCGAACTGGATTTTGTAGGCTGACCAGGAAAAAGTCCCGTCGAACGGTGGCACTTTGAATCCACGTAGCGAAGGTGTTGTAGCTACTACGGGAGCTGTTGTTCCATCTCCAAGTTTGAGGTCATCCAGCGTTTTCTTCATGTCAGCCATCACGTTATCAACCCGATTGTTCGCTTGGTCGATTTGGGTTGTAGCTTCCTTGATTTGGATTTCAGCTTCCGACAGGCGGTTGTCATGTTGAGCAACCCTATACTTCACCTCCCTTATCTCTTTCCCAAAGGTGGCATGAAGGTCCTTCATAAGGAACATCTGCTCTTCCAATCGACGGGCCTGTTCCTCTTGTCCGCCCCGCAGCTGCTCTTCCAAGCGACGGACCGGTTCCTCCTGTCGGCGGACCTGTACCTCCTGTCGGCGGACTTGTTCCTCCTGTCGGCGGACCTGTTCATCCTGTCCACCCCGCAGCTGCTCTTCCAACCGATGGACCTGTTCCTCCTGTCGGCGAGCCTGTTCCTGCAGCATCACCATCAGAGCACCTAAGTCGGGTGCTGCAGATGTAGGAGCTACCGACGGGCCTGCAGCCGGTGGCTGGCTCTCCGACGGCTGCGGCGTTGCACCACCAAATCTTCTTTGGTCCGTCTCCTGCTGGCGTTGACTTCGGGTACGGACACCCTCCGTTTCCTCCTTAGATAAAATCGGCATGATTTTATCCGACTTCTAACACCAATTGTTACGAGCTTGAGGTTCGTGACAATATAAATTGCCGATAGGATTACCTAAATTAACACTTTAATTTTATTTACACCAATTAAAACTTAAAACACTAATATATAATCACACTGATTCGCTTTATTTCGCTCCGAAGCTTCGCTTGTTCTCGCCAAATTCAATACTTCCCCGATCGCATCTTGCAGCGCCTATAAATACAAATTAGCACCGAAACATCCAGAATATTCAAGTAAACACGCGCAAGGGGCCGAGAGTTCGAGTGTCGACTTCTATAGAAGTAAGCTTCTAAGCTTAGTTCTTCGTTCCGAGACTAGATGGCGCTGTCGGTTGAAAGATTAGTGATGTCATTTTCTGGAAAGCTCCCCTCGCTCTCGTCCCTGACACTAGATGGCGCTAGTGCCGGGTACATGACGTCAACTTATTCGCACAACAATATACTATAATATGATGTCAATATGATACAATATGCCTTTTTTGAGACAAACCCTAATATATTTATAACACTGAACTTAATCTAGTGATATAAGTATATCACTA